GAAAATTTATCCTATAAGGGGGTAAAATAGGGGATGAAAGTTTGTATGAAAATACCTTTTTAGAGATTTTATTTTAGTTTTACTGCGAGCAAAGCCGCGGGTTCGGCTAGTATATTATTGAATACTTTACCTAATTTATTATCTTTAAGGAATAGGTTAATGATTTCTTTGAAAGTTTTATTTGTTTGATAATTTGGGTCAAATAACTATCGAAAAACAATTAATTACAGGCTAATGTAATAATATTGTTTTGAATCAAACGTTAGAATCGTTACGTTTGTCATATTTTAATGGGTTGTAGAATGTAATGGTTTATAGTTATATATGACCAAAGCTTATAGTTAATTAATATCTACGAGTATATGCACATATTTTATTTATGTTTTTATATAGATAGATAAAGACAAAAAAGTTAAGTAGGTACTTTTATCTCGTCTGTTTGTCGACGGAATTTCTTTTTTTTTTGTTTAGTGACTATTGACAAGCTTTAGTGTTGTCAAGCTAAGCTAAGATAATCTCATATATCATATATGACATTGAACTATGATGAGACTGAAAAATTGATGATCAATCAAAACGTCGTATAAAACATGTTCGAACATCCCATATTTACGCACTTTTATGTACACATAGGTAACACGTGCACACACACACACACACACACACACACACACACACACACACACACATACACATATACACACGCACATTCACACACACACATGCACACCCACACCCACACACAAACGCAAACTTATATATGTAATTAATTGTAAATTTTTATTTTGTTTTCACTCTGTTGACTTTCTAGTCTTGGTGGATGAGCGGGGCACCCAGTAATACGGGTCTCCACCTAGTACAGAGGCCCTTGCGACTATCTTGAAATGTAATCTTTTAAGTCAATAAAAGTATTTTTATTTATTTTTTTTATTTTAAATATAGCTATATAGGAAAATATTATAGTATTTTTATATCCCGACACAACAAAGAACAAGTTGTAATGGATGGAAACATGTGTAAAATTCTGTGGAAATTCGGAAGTCGTTTTTTTTAAGTTTTTATTTTTCCATTTTTAGTGTAGATAATGGACACCGACTTCGAAAATATCTGATTAGGTACATATTATCTATTCTAAATGAAAACCGTTTAGTTATTTCTTACATTTTGGTGCGGTTTTTTTTAAGTTTTTATTATCCTACAAACTATATTGGGAATTCCTTTCAATTCAACAAGAACCTACAATCTTAATTATTCGTCTTTTTTCAGACTTTTTTTCGTAAAAAAGGAGTAAATTTACATAAATGCTTTTTTCGTGATATATTCATATCAATGTTTGATGTCAAGCAGTTAAAATAAAACTCAATATATCTAGCGATTACTTTGGTTTTAAAATATTTTTTGTTTTTGTTTTTCAATATTTCTTTTGAGTGAATTCCCTATAAAGGTACCTTATATAATACCTCATTAACATACTTTTATATCGCGGACTATCTATCCCTCAAAGGAATGGTGACATTAAACGTTACGTATACATATAATAAAATTCAAACTAAGCCGAATCTGTACATTAAATATTTTTTGGAAAGTCTTATTGAAATAGACATCATTATCGATACAGAGGCCGAATCTATAGTTTTTTGAATTTTTGTCTGTCCGTCTGTTACCGCATCTCGAAAAAACCACTGGAGGGAGCTGGTTATCCGGGTCAACATATAGGATACTTTTTACCGCGGGAAAATATCTCATTTCTGAGAAAAAACACAAAAACTGCAATGTAAGAGTATTCTTATATGAAAAACCTAAGAATTTGGTTTTTGGTTATCTGAACGCGGGCGGAGCCGCGGGCAATGCTATATAATATATTATAATGGGTAACATCAAAGATCACAAAAAAATACGCCTATACATGCAATACAAAATTATGGACATGAAATTATGAGATGGTGACAATATGAATTGAAAGCGACTTAAGTAGAAATTGAACAAAAATAAACAACTTGAGTATACTAAAATGTAAGTCGGTTATTTTGTAATAATTTTGTAATAATATGTTTAGGTATAGGTAGTATCTATACAGTAAAGGATATGAACAACTTCTACAGATCTAATCCATTCGAAACTCAGCATCCCGTTACTTCAACGACTTTGCAACAGATTGGTAACCTTGGTCTGATGCTGCAGTGTTACCTGGAATCTGCAAGATACTCAACTCCTCACTAAAATACTGCAGAATTATCGTATTTAGGCTCATGGAAATAGCCTTAAGGAATAGGTTATTGTGTTGGCCTTTTTTAATTATATATCGGTTTTAAACCGATATCGCCCTAGAATGATTCGAGAAGCCATAGAAATTAAAAAACATCCTAATTTCAATAGGGAAGATGGCTGGGTACTACCATCGTCATGGGATCCTGTTATTAATATAATAAAATCTAATAATAAATCTAAACATAACAGACAGGTAGATGTAGTAAGTTCTTACTGTGTAGATAAAAATGATAGCATTTCTGATTAATAATATTTTTTCACTTTTTCATTTGTAAATGTATGTAGTAATGTGTTGCTTAATAATTTGTTTTTTAAATAATAGCAAATTTCAATTAAAATTATTATTTTTAATTAATCTTAACTTTTTCAAATTACACATAGATCAATTGTGGCTTAAATAATTAATAGTATATTTTATATTTTTCTTTATGGTTATAAATATAATAATGGCAACACTAAAAAATGTAGATTAATAATTAATATTTTTAAAATTGTAATAATTATTATAATAACAGCTCAAATTAAATAAATAATATTCTATATTCAATTATAAAGCTAATTAAAATTATATAAAAATGTTTAAAGTTAAAAGTTAAAATATTGTAAGGTACTTTAGTGCCATTTTTCATTTTTTTTGAATTTTTTGAATTCATTTTGTTAATTGTGGGTAGGCTGTCTGTAACAACTATATAATACCTTAGAGACATCTAACACCTCAGTCTCTCCCGTGACCATGATTGCTGTAAAGCATTCGAAACGTCGGGAAACAAAAATGCAAATAAATCCGCGACAAAATCCGAAAATATAGTTTTATTTAAAATGTCAAATATTCGCGTAAATCTAAGAAAGTATTATAATATAAATAGTTATTAGCCAGCGTTAGCCACACAATTAACAAATATTGACATTAATATTTATACGATACTACGTCACTCAATTCCTTTGCCTTCCCGGAACCTCTCCACTAACACTTAAACTTTATGGTATGGTATTAAAGTTCAAATTGACTTTTAAGTATTATTACGAATCTTTTGTATAGGAGTATAGAAAAGTGTTGTTTTTAGAGTTTTTCAGGCATTTTTGTTAATTTTTCCATCCTCGTACTTCATGGAATATTTAAAAAAAAGAATTAGCGAAATCGGTTCAGCTGCTCTCGAGATTTGCTCTTACCAACACATTCAGCGATTCATTTTTATATAATAGATATAGAGATTATGGCTGTCATTTTGTGCTTTTGGTCACGAAAATATTAAAAAAATATCTCTTTTTAAATGAAACGAAACCCTCGTCGTTTTTATATTATCTTCATGTAAATCGTTATTCATTGAGCTCCTTATTCGACATTTAATAAGTAAAACGACTCTGACCTTTTATACTTTTACTCTTATATTCTTATAAAATAAAACACTAGTTATTTCAAAGAGATGATGATAATATGAATTGAAAGCGACTTACTCGTAAGTAGAAATTGAACAAAAATAAACGATTTGGGTATTCTAAAATGTAAGTCGGTTATTATGTAATAATTTTGGTGGAAAATAAACATGATTTTCTTGTGTACAAATATTATTATTAAAAAAAAGTTCTTCAATAGGTACTTGGTGCGAGTTCATTAATATATCTGAACAATAATTCTAAATTAAGCACAGCTGCTGTTCAATTCATAAGTTCGCCTTCAAGCTAGCGTTAAGAATTATTATTTGATTGTGGTACGAGTGCTAGCTGTGTTTGGTTTTTAAGTATTAATTAACAAAGTTCTGGAACAAATACCATTAGAATTTGAATCTTCATTAGCTAAATATATTTATAAGCGGAAATTGTTAAATATAATATTTTGACACAAAGGGAATATTTTACTTTATCAACTAAAGTTTCCCTGCGGCTCCCCTAGCATATATTATTTATATATATATATATCTATATATATATATATATATATATATCTTTATATATATAATTCTTCTGTGAGTGTGTATGTCACTGAACTTCTCTCAAACGACTGGACCGATTTTGATGAAATTTTTTGTGTGTGTTCAAGGGGATCTGGGAATGGTTTAGATTCACAATTTGAATAATAATTTTCATCAAAAAAATTATTAAAAAAAGTTTGAAATTTTCAAATTAAAGACGTGTAGACAGGACAACGTCTGTCGGGTCCGCTAGTATATACATATATATATATATATATATATATATATATATATATATATATATATATATATGTAGTCGTCATTTTTAATCAGAAGCATTGTTTTTAACGTATCCTACGAGTAACTTGATTAACATTCAATTTTCATACAAATATTTCCTTTTGTACCTCTGGAGTTGAATAAAAAAAAACTTTGCTGATGCCTATTCATATTTGACAAACCTTTCATTTATATTTTCTGGGATTTCGTTATCAATTAGCGAAGAGATATACTTGTATACGTATTCTTTTAAGCATATACCTAGATATGACGATACGTTTGGCTCAGTTTGTAGTGTACTTGCTATGCCAACGATAGCGGGTTCGAGTCCCGCTGGAGGCATTTATTCGTGTGACAAGCACCAATGTTTGTACTCCAATTATGGGTGTTTATATTTGTAATATGTATGAATTTCAAATTTATATAGGTGTAGCGTATCAACTATCTGGTATCCGTAACAAAGTTTCGTAGCTTACCATGGTATCAAATGGTGCTGTGTGTTAATGTCCCTAAATAATAAAATAATATTTAGATTATCCTCACCTTGCCAGTAAAGTAGAGTCCATTATCTGCGGTTGCCGCGCGTCTATCACGACCACATGTGGTATTCTGGCGTCGGGGTCGCGTCTAAACGCGTCTAGAGCCTCCCTTGCACCGCGGACGGCGCGCGACTCCCCGCCCGCCCGCGCGGCCGCGTTGCACGCCGCAGCGCACACGCGGGATGCCCGTTCCGGAAATACACATAGTAACTGCGACAAAAAGTGATCGTAAAAATTTTGAATAATAGAGGCAGTGGTAGCCCAGTGGTAATGAACGCGCTCGCTTGGGAAACCGAGTGTAGCGGGTTCAAATCCTGGGTCTTGCACCTCTGATAATTGTGCGAATCATTTCTAACTCGATTACCACTTGCCTTACGGTGAAGAAAAACATCGTGAGGAAACCTGTATGTCTGAGAAAAGCTGGGAAGTTTTCGAAAGACATGTGAAATCCGCCAACCCGCACTTGGCCAGTGTGGTGGACTATGGCCCTCGTGTTGAAGGGAGGGCTGTGCCCAGTAGTGGGAGGTTAAAAAAGCGCTGAATATAATTAAATTGCATGAATGGATATGATTGATTGGATGGGCCCATTTGCGTCCAGCAATCCAGCCAGGCGTGAAGACAAGAAACACTCACAGCAGAGTGGATCGAGGGAGCAGCCACTTGGTTGTATGGTCTCCTTCGGCAGGTCTGCGTTGGGGTGTCACATTAAGACGGGGGAGGTCTGTTGGGGCTTAGTGTGTAATACTGGCGTTATTCTAGCCGCTGAGTCTCACATAACTATTTGAATGTATGTTTGTATTACAGGTGGTATGTGTAAATGCATTTCCAAACATAAACAAATTACTACACATAGTGTTTATGTTACTGCAGTCTATCTGTGTACTAAAATTCATCTTAATCTGTCCAGCCGTTTCAGCATGAAAGAGTAACAAACATACAAACTTGTGCATTTATAATAGTACTCTGATATACGAGATTGGTCTATTATAATTTAATAAAAGCCGAAAAACCGGTGTTGATGCCAGAAATACACTTAAATTTAGTAACTGGGACAACAAATAATTATATTCAGTTAAATAAAACTATGTTTTCGGATTATTTCGCGGATTTATCGGGAGGGACTGACTCTCCCGTGACTATGATTGCTGTAAAGCATTCGAAACGACGGGAACCAAAATTCAAAATAAATCCGCGAAATAATCCGACAAGATAGTTTTAATTAAAATGTCAAATATTCGCGTAAATCTAATAAAGTATTATATTCAGTTAACGTGAGTACAACATCTAATGTAATAATATATAAGTTATTATAATCTTGAATTTGTATGGTAGATTAATTATCTCGTGGATCATTTTAGTTACCGTTTTCAACATTGTTTCATTTTCATACACTTATGTCCCTGCAAAATCATAGTTAGATATATTTGCATTTGTAAAATTTTTTTGTTTAATAAAACTTAAAAGTATAATATAAGTATCTAAATTACCTCTAGTGGTTCCGGAGGCGCGTAGAATAGGGCAGATGGGATGTGTGAAGGCGGCGGCGACCTGTTCTGCAAAGAGAATTCTCTGTGTAATATGCATCGATGTTTGTTTTTAACCCCTGACGCAAAAACGACGGGGTGATAAATTTAACGTGTCTGTGTGTGTCTGTCTGTGGCATCGTAGCTCCCGAACGGATAAAACGATTTTGATTTTGTTTGTTTTTGTTTGAAAGGTGAATTAGTCGGGAGTGTTCTTAGCTATGTTTGATGAAAATCGGTCCGAGATGGCGGCGGCCACAAAATGGCGGATTACATATTTTTTCACAACTCCCTCAATATGGGTATCAAAAGAAAGGGCTTGACTAGTAGAATACTAAACACTATGATAAATTCCATCACCACAAAATGGCGAAGGTCGGGTTTTTTTTTAATTTTTAATTTAATTATAGTTTTATCTATCAACAAATATTTATGCAATCACTTATTATTAGATATGTGTAGGTTTTTTTAAAACAATACTTATGCGTACAATCAAGTACTAATCATTAATCAACTTAAGAACTAATCATTAATCAACATAAGGTTTTATTTAATAAGGATATACAAGATATAAATATGTATGTAATATGTATATTGTATGAAGGTACAGAACCCCAGTTACGTGAGTCTAACTCGCATGTGACCGTTTTTTAGTGTTTCGTACCCGAAGGGTGCCAACGGAACCCTATTACTAAGTCTCCGCACTCCGTCCGCCCGTCTGTCAGAGAGTTGTATCTCATGAACCGTAATAGGTAGAGTTGAAATTTTCACAGAGTATGTGTTTCTATTGCCGCTATAACATACAAGATTTTCTTTTAGCGTTCGTAATCGATATAATATACTACATAAATGAGTAAAAGTAATTTTTATAAAAAGTAAATATACGATGGTACGGATTGCATCTGGTTGGATTCGTGTGCGAATTCGACTCGCACTTGACCCATTTTTTACTTTCATACTTAATATTATAAATGCGAAAGTGAAAAAAACTCTTGCAGAACATTTCGACTGAACAGATCTGGATGAAATTTGGCACAGTTATAAATTATAGTCTGGAGTAGCGCATAGGTTACTTTTTATCCCGGAAAAATGTACGGTTCCCGTGGCATAGATTTGTTTATATCTAGAGACGAACCCGAAGCGAAGCAAGGATGAGTCGCTAGTCATCCATACGTTTAAAACTTATTTTACTTTAATTCAAACGTTTACTTAAATTCAAAGCTTATGAAGTCTTGTCTCACAATGGGGTGATGACAATCTGGTCGATTTCAACGCCGCCAAAACGCAAGCCTGTCTATTTTCCGCAAAAAGGAGTACGTTCAGCTTGACTTTTCGTGGTACACCTGTAGAGATTTCCAACAGTCTAGAGCTTCTCGGCATGAGGTTATGTGCAAATCTTAACTTTGGCGACAACATCGAGTCGAAGGCACAGACTGCGGCCAAGAAACTGGGCATCCTAAACAAGGTTAAGCGATACTTCACGCCTGGACAGCTTCTCACATTATATAAAGCTCAAGTCCGATCATGCATGGAGTATTGCAGTCACCTTTGGGATGGCTCTGCAAAATACCAACTAGCCGCTCTTGACTCGGTGGAACGCAGAGCTAAAAAGCTAATCGGCGACGAAAAGCTTGTGAAAACTAAGCTTCACAGCTTAGCACACCGTCGCCAAGTTGCTTGTCTGTCAGTTTTCTACAGACTGTACTTCGGGGAGTGTGCCCACGAGCTCCACAGTCTCATACCGCCATCGCCATTCTTCTATCGGAACACCAGACGTACTGCAGGATACCATCCTTTCTTGGTTGACATTCCGACCACTCGCACTAAGCGCTATTCGACATCTTTTATAATGCGCACAGCCAAGATGTGGAATGCGCTGCCTGCGTCTGTTTTTCCGAGAGCGTATAACCTGAACCTATTTAAGGTGCGTGTTAACAGGCTTCTCCTGGGCAAACTCGCTAGATCGTAGACCTTATCTGTGCCTTCGAGCTAAGATAAAGGTCAAGAGTGAGCCCATTTCTAATAAAAAAAAACCTTAATCCCTTTGTTAAAAATACAACGATAACGTCCGGAAAAATAATTCATATTGCTTTATTTCTAGGAATTCACAGAATAACTGGATATGACGAATATGTGGATAATAAAATATAACCGCGATATTTGTCCCGCAGCACCAATTTTCTGAGTTATGTAATACTCTATTTCGAATATGAACATTTGCGCACAGCGTGATCATTTCTCTCGAGATTCCGGGATGACCGACTTTATTGTCGCCCTAAATTTCCTTGTGGCCTTGAATGTGAAATCCTTTGTACTTGGTTTTGTGTTTTAGAAAATATAATTTCTCTCTCTAATTTTATGTTTCTTACATATAGGTAACAAAGGGAAATAAAATATATTTTATTATTATCAAATATTCAATTATCTCATACCTATTACTAGCATTTTCCTGCGGCTTCGCGCATAGTACATCAATCACCAACACATCGTATACTAAAACCTTCTCCGAAACACGCTGCATCTTATGGTATGAGTATTATCCCGATCGGTTCAGTATTTATCGCAGTATAATACAAAAAATTGGCTCTCAATTTATTAGTATAGATTACATATTTTTAATTTAAAAACGATGTTTAAAACCATTAAATTAACTGTTAATATATTGTTACTAATAATACATGTATTGATACTACTATACATGTTATGATATTATGTTGCACATTAAATGAAAAATAATCTTGTTTCGCGACTTTCTTTATTTCTCTACGAATTATAAAAGGAAAAGCCAGCAAAAAGTAAAATGATAACATAACAATTTCATAACAGTTAAGGTTAAATAGTTTGTTGTTTAAGAAAAATAGACAGCTGACAAAGCTAAAGAAAGCTATTTTAAGCGACTTAAAAAAGGTGCTGAGAATATTTAACCCGTTTACATGCAATATCGCTGAAAATGCCACTCTTGCCTTTTACTATAATTTTAAAATTTTATAGATAGACCGTAAGAAGCCGATAGAAAATTCTCAATCTTAAAGAATTTCGACATTAAATATCTTTTTAAGCAGGCAGTTAGATTATATATTTCCGTATAATGTTTTTTGTGTATTTTGTCTTTAATTATACACTAGCGACTCACCCTCGCTTGGCTTCAGATTTGTCCCTAGACAAGAACCAATCTATCCCACGGGAAGAAAATGTAAATTTTTCGGGATGGTTTACATAAACTAATAAATGGGCTATCTAATGCAAAAAGATTTTCTCAAATCAGATTAGTAGTTCCTGAGATTAACGCGTTCAAACAAAAAAACAAACTCTGCCTCTATTATATTATTTGTTCATATATAATATGAAACGTGATGTAACCCTTTTTAACAACTATAAAGACACATAGGACAGCTCATTAACAGGTCTTAGTAAATAGAAAACTTCGACAAAATCCATGTCACAGTGACGGCTAATGTAGTAGGAAATAACGACTAACTTTATGCAGCAAGTACGATTAAATTAATTACATTTTTAACGTAAAAAATACGGTATTTCCAGTCGTATAGTATGTTGGATGTTGTTTCATTATATTATTTTAACCAAATTCAAAAGAGGAGGTTGTATAATAATTCGGCTTAATTTTGTGTAATATAATTTTTTTTTCTGGGTAGACAAAAAGAACCTTTTACTTTGTTCTACTCTTTCTGCCTATAATGAAATACTGAATATTAATCGACAAATATATTATTACGGCAATATTTAAACATAATTATAAATTAAACAATTTAAAAATCTCCTACGCAAATTAAATGTCATTTAACGATAACACTGGCACGCGTGAAGCTCTTAATCGAGTAATCATACGCTATCAGCTCTTTTCCAAAATGCCTTATATCATTTTGGAAAAGAGCTGATACTCTTACACTGCTGGACCGATATTAACAAAATATAGCTAAGAACCACCGCAAGGAAACTGGCTTTCAAATGAAAAAAAACCGCATCGAAATCGGTCCATCCATTTGAGAGCAACGATGACACAGACAGACACACACACAGACAGACATATACATATATAGACATCAACGTCAAACTTGTAACACCTCTCTTTTTGAGTCGGGGGTTAAAAAATACCAATTAAATTGGAACATGATTTTTAATCAACCCTCAGTTACCATGTATGGAGTGCATCCACCGTAGTCGATTCCATTCGTAATACGTAATTTGACTAAAGTATTGTCTAGCAGTTTACGGAAATAGAAAAGACAGCTATATACATACCAATAGTTTCCGTTTTTAAACTTTTGGTTACGGAACCAATAACATTTACGTACCTCAAAAACAATCTTTCGTTAGAAACATAAAAATGTTCCTAAGGAACATTTTAAAAGCTTTAATGGTATATAATATATCCTTGGTATCGCGTTGCGGCATCTGTCGGTTTCTAATAAGCGTCTTGTACCTACAAGCCGGAGTCTGGATAATTGCACGTGTAATAATACACGGGTGCGATATATGTAGAAGATACTTTAATTATTCGATAATTATATTTACCACTGTTCATTCGATGTTAATAATTAAAGCATTATGTAGCTGTAACGATAGAAAATGTTGAAAAATCTATCGAGATCTGTATTATCTTATAATATTAACTCAGCAATTCTTGTATATTATTATACTTACTTATATATACATTTATTTCGTGTATTTTGAAAACGGTTCTAACGATTTGGATCAAATTTTGTAAATTTAGATAAGGTTTTGCTTTTTAAGTTTATCTATATAGATTTCTAAAAAAAAACAATTTTTATGTTTTCTCGCTGTTGTTACTCGCTCACCCAGATTCTAGTATAATAATAGATGTAATAGTAATATATAGGTAACAATTTTATATTGTGTTGATATAAATAATTAACTATTAAAATATAATGAGAATAAAATTTTTATTAAGTGAATAAACAAGTTAATTAAGTTTTTAAATTTATTTTTATGCTATGGAAACTTAAAGTAATCTAATTACGGCTACATTGTTGTGAAAGAAGACTGAGTTA